TTTTAATATACATGCTTTACTATCATGAAAAATTAATGTTGAACATGTGGACACATTCGAAAAGACGATTTTTTTAGATTTATATGGTTTGTTTGGCCGGATAAAAGAATCATAATAATCAATTATGAATAGTTTAATTAGTAAAACAATTCAAACAAAGTCTAAAGGTCGTTGATTTGAATAACAATTGGGAGAGGATCATATAAAACGATAACAATTGGGAGAGGATCATATAAAACGCTCTAGTCGCTGTTCTGAGAGAATGTATGGACCTAGGCTCGGAACCTCTTAATTATTCAAAAAAAAATCATAATATTAGTGCAGCAAATTATTAATTAAGCTTAGTCACTAGCTAGTTGAATATAACTCACAACGATAACGATTAAATAAATATAGTACACAACGATAACGATTAACTAAACCTCATTAATTACTTTAAAAAATAAATAAATCTGTTACTTGAAAATATTATACTAATAAATTAGAATTTACCAGATGGAAAGTGCGGCTACGGAGATTTCGGCATTCTTCAAATAACCAGCAAATAATATGACTGCCATGAGATACCACACTTCCAAACTTCCAAAACAAAACTTAACTAAAACTCAATAACAACAATGATAATGATAAACAAAATCTGTTTTAAGGAAATAATAGTTACTCACCAGAGCATAACAGCAGAAGCCAAAGATAATCTAACGAAACTCCACAAATTATGGAAAGCTTCCCACGAGAACCCCGACCAAGCCTCACCGCATGTACCACTAAATATATAAACAAGCTGTGCCACATCAATGAACCACCACGAAGCGTTAAGCACGACGGCTAAACCCGCCATGCCCCACTGGAGCCTCCCCATGACAAACCACGTGAGAAGCACGTGTAGAACAAGTGCAACCGCCGAGATTGCGGCCATGACCATGATCTTGCTTTGCGATTGCAAAAATTTAGCGGTTGGAAAATTAACGGCGTAAGCAAAGATCTGAGGGATCATGTAGATAGAAAATATTCCGGTGGCGCTAGAGATCGCCGGTGTTTGACCGATGAACGCGAGGATTGGAGCGGCAAAAATGTATAGGAGAGAGAGAATAATGGCGGTCACGTTTAGGATCACCCATGATCGTTGAAGGTAAACGCCAAGCATTGACAGTTTACCCGCTCCAAACGCTTGCCCACATAACGTTTCTAACGCACTTCCCATTCCAAGCTAGTCGAACAATTATACATTAAAATTTACAACTCAATTCAAAAACTTTTATACAATTTTAAAATATATATAAAATTGAAATTTTTGCAATTATTTAAAATCTATTATCTAACCCTGAAAAATTTAGTTTATTTCATATATTAAAAAGATACTTTGACAACCAAACAGAATACTTAGGATTGATTTATTAACATATATATTTTTTTCTTGTGCTTACATCATTTACTATAATGTTTTCCGTCAAACTGAATAATCTAAAATATCTTCTTCTTTTTTGTGTTTTGATTTGTATTTTTTGAAAACTGATTTAAATGTAAAACAAAACATTTTGAATGATTTGGACTAACATCTTCTTGATCTTGTTTGTTTTTAAACTAATATTAAATTCAGTCAAAGAAAAAAAAACATTTTCAATGATAAATGTTATTTACCATGATGCCGTACGAGAATCCAGCGATGACGGAGTTTTCAACGGAGACGGCCGCGAGAGTGATGGTGCTGACGTGTCCGGCGAAGACCTGAGTAACAGCGCCGAGAGAATATTGGGTCAACGACGTGAAAATGGCGGGTCCGGCCAAGTACCAAAGTTTTTTGACCTCTACGTTAAACTCCCTAACGAATCCACCGACGGTGGTGATCGGAGGAATATCCTCGACGGGTGATAATGGAAGATCGGATTCTTCCGCCGCAGAGAGAAGCGTCTCCGTTAGAGTTTTGTCTTTTCCCATATCCACGAGATAGAAATAGAGAGAGAGAGATAATCTTGGTATTAGGTCATTGATGAATAAGTTCTGTTTATACATATCAACTAGTATCATTTATTTCACTAAATTAATTATCAAAAAAAAAAAAAAACTGAGTCAATCTTTTTTTGTTTTATTGCTTTTTTACTTCTTTATTTTCGTAGTTTGTCCAAAAAATAATTCGATGAGATTGATTAGAAAGACTGAGATATCGAAACATTTTGCCTTGGATCTCTAATCACTTATTATCTTGAGTGCACTGCTGGGTACTGATACCTATTACACGTCCTCAACCTATGATCTGAATTGTTCCCGCCTGAAAAAAGAAACTGAAAGCTTCTGTTTTGCCTGGAGGGTCTTCACACACTTCACTAAATGACTTCCTCAAGACCTTGTGAACTTCATTTAGTACTCATTTCACTACTCTACGTATCTACGCTTTTGCTTTTGAAAATTAATTAGATAAGATCTTTTATGAAATGTTAAAAATCCGACCAATGTCTTAAAACTAAATAAAATTATTATTCTAATAATATTTTGTGATTATTTTAGAAATCAATGGTAACATGGACTACTGAGTACCAATGTTAAAAGTATGGTTGCTCGGATTCAGCTCTCCTTTGGCTTCTGTCTTGAAGCCTAGTTGTAGGAGTCACCAGTTACTTTTCCTGCGGGAGCTTCCTCCGCGTGTGGCCTTGTTTTGTCCAGAGCATTTTCAGGCGGTGGTGTTGCTAGCGCTTCCACATCTCTGGGATCTTTTCTCCTTCGTCTAGCTGTTGGAAGCTCTTTCGAGAGGTGGCTCTGTTTTGCTTCTTTGGTTCCGATGTCTTCTTTTGTTCTCCCGTCTCCAGTAGTTCTGGTCTCAAGCGACAAATTGCTCTGTCGACGAGTCTCTTTTTTGCAGCTTGGAGCTGCCAAAGGAGCTGGTTATGCAGGAAGGTTGTTAGGATGTTGCGGGGTCCCCACTGGCGGTATCGGAATCCCAGTCCTATCTATCAATCCCAAAGCTTTAGAAATGGGCCCTAGATGTAGATGAGGACGAAGCCAACAAGATGGAACCCTAGATTCCTTTTGCAAGATCGGATAGCGATCGTGGGGCAGCGGCTGCTATGCAACGAGTCGAAGATCAAAGATAGGTTCATCTTTGCCAGAAAAGAAAGTATCTTCCAAGGGTTGGAAACTCCCATATTCAGGGGTTGAGAGGAGAAAAATTAGGATAGCAGATTTGTTTATGCAAGAGCTCTCTTCTCGGTTTAAAGTATCTTCGTGCGCCATCAACGAAATCCAGTAGAGGAAAGCTACTGCAAAGATCTGAGGAGTTTCAGATTAAAATAATTGAAACATGTTTTTTTGGTACTAGCATCGCCATATGAGGTGTGAACAGAGGGAGGAAAAGGAGAAAAGCCGCCGGACATAATCCTTTTTCATATAACCTGAATAATCCTCTTTCTAAGGATACCATCATTGGATCGTGTCCTTAGAAAGAGGAAGGTGTCGCAACGGCCAATTCCTTCAATCGAGTAAATTTTTCTATTGACTAATGGATCAAATACCCAAATGACTTCTCCAAACCATATGTTAAGAGAAAATTCATCGGTTGAAAACCGGAGATGACACCGGTGAGACAGGCCACCAGAAACAAACTTTAAATATGACAATACATTATGATTCAAGCGAATCGATTTAACACGGGACGAGAGACATTCGTGGGATGAATCTGTCAAAACTATCGGTGGAAGCAGGTTGAATTGATAGGCCAACAAAATTGGAACTTGAAGCACAAGCAAGATTAGAACCTGATCTGGAGCCGTTGGACGGAAAACCTTGATCACCACCATTTTAATGTGGCAAAGAGCATGGATTGAAAACCTTCGATTTGCCATGATTTACCAATGAAACTAGAACTTTGCAAGTAGCAGAGAAAGAAAATAATAGAGAACAACGGTGGCCGACACCGACCAAAACAATTGAGTTTTGAAAAGTTTTCTTCGATCGTGGATGGAGACGCTTGGGAAAGAAGATATTTTGTATACTGTTTAATTTGGTTCTTTAGTTGAACTGTTTAATTATACATGACTAAATTTGAAACTTTTAAAAAGTTTTAAATATTATTATCGATATATTTAAACTTTATTAAAAAATATTTAAATATTATGATCTCTTACTAATAAAAGGAACTAATTGAGGCTTCTAACACTAGCCACGTCAGCATTTTAAAACTCTCCTAGAGGGTGCCACGTCACGTCACATGTTAGGTTTCCACATCATTTAGTTAAGAACAAATCAAAGTATTAGGAGTTTCCACGTCAAATACCTCGATCTCAATTCCCAAAACGCAAAATAATTAATTACAAAAAAAAATGTATCCTTTTGTTTTTTGTCGATGAAAAACCTAATCGTTTCCACTTCCAATTTAATTGCATCTTCTTCCAAATATGTACTACGAAAAATTCAAATCGTTTCTACTTCCTCTTTCACTGATTTAATCACATCTTCTTCTTTTCTTCTTCTTTCGCTCATACCACATATGGACGTCTCGATTCTCTGCAAACCCTTTCAAATGGCTACATCTGAAAAAAGACAGAGACATGGTAAGTAACGACATCTCTTTTTCTTGATTAAATAGTAAACCCCTCTTTATACGCTTCAGATGGTGATGCTAAATCATGGATGCCCTAATTCTGTAGAACGCAAGTACATATAATCTCAAGCTCCAATAATTAAGATTGATATTTTGTATATTTGATAGTTCATATTCTAATTTTATTGTTGTTATAACATGTAATGAGTAAGCTCTTTCTTCAACGTGTTGTCAAGTTTTTATATTTGGCATGTTTAACTGAATCACAAAATATATAGTGCTGGAACTGATGACTAAGTTATACATGTCTCTTTTTGATGACTTTTGTTCTCAATGAGGGCAATGATGATCATGTAATGGGGATGCACATCGAGTTTTAAAATCAAAGACTAAAATTGGGTAAGAGATAATTTTCCCTCCCTATTATGAATTTACTATACATAGGTGATTTACATTTACCACTCTACCAATTGATTTTTCTTTTTTCACATAATCTTATCTTCGAACCCATCAAATGTTTTACTTATTTTGTGAAGGCTGTTTACTTTTTCAGTATCACTAAAGTTCCAAAATTATGGTAAAAGCCAAAAGTTATACTGTGGAGAAATTTCTCACAATTCGTAAAGGTTGTGATAGTTGGGCATATTTTGATGTTCAGGTGAGTGATATTTTGACATTTAATTGGGTTGCTGTATCCAATATCATAGTTTTTTGGCATAGTGACATACATATGTAGAATATGATCCTGAAAATACAGTTGGTGAAAAGGGTTCTGTTCAGGCATGAACAACTTCAAGGTGTCTTCTGATGTACCTTTAGTTAAGCGTTTTATGATGACCAGAAGATCTAGATTCTAGAAAGCCTAAAGCATTGCTCACGCCTTTTAAGACTTTTATGTCCAATACTTTTCCTTTTCTTTTTCATGATTTGAATTATGCTTCATGTTTGTCTAGGTTTACTAATTAGTCATAATTGGTGTGTACTACTTGATCTGAGAACACTGAACCAGAGCATTGAGAAAAGGATGCCAATGAATCAGAGGAAGGAAAAGTATCAAGTCAAGAAAAATATAGTTTTACATGTGGAAAGTGTTCACAAAACTTGATTTAGATTGCAATATACACATGCATTCATGTTACACGATAACTAAACAATTTAGAGCAACTCTATGGAGAAGAGTGAACTCCAGCATATATACAAAAATACAATGAAAGCTCATACTATCTTCTTCACAATACCAACAAATAATATTATTCTACAGCTTCACAATACTCTATGCAACTGTTATTTTAGGAATCCTCTACGTATTCCAGCGTGAATTGTAGATAATATGATGTAGATAATCTGATAACACGTTAGTTGATTTCTTAAAACATAAAATTATCAATTGTTACTTATATACCGGGCGTAGCCCGGATTATCCCTAGTAAACTTATAAAAGGTTTAAAATATCGCGGGACGGGTTATATGGCGGGATGGGTTTGTATTAACATTAACATAAATTTAAAATATCATTAACTCGGTGTTATAACGCGGACTAATTTCTCATTTAATTATTTTTTTAATATCCCTAATACTAGGACACTAGACATATGGAATCAGGTTAATATAGTTAAGATTGTGTGATAAAAATTGTCCCATGGTATACTTTCAAACACTGAAGACATGCATTTAGTTGTGTTGAAAAGAACTGCAATTCAATATGCAAATGGAGAACTAGTATGTTGTAATCAAAGTTAATCTCAATGTACCAATCCGCTCGGTAAACTTAAAACACTCTTTGAGAACTTAAATATTGATTAAGTCAACTCAAAGAAATATCGAATTAGGTTAATTTAGTTCTTTTTTTTTTCTCAAGTCAGATTTTACTCTGGATTACTCGGCTTTGCTTGCTATGGTCTCCGCTTCAAGACTCACGAGAACACATAAATTCATCCTTCGCTACGTCTTTCAAGCATCAGTCCATTCTTTTTGGAGGGAAATAAATAGAAGAAGACATGGTGAGTTGGCCATTTCTGCATTGGTCATAACTCAAACGATCGACCGGACAGTTCGAAATCGACTTTTATCTCTTGACATGAGTTCAAGTATGATGAAAAATAGTCTGCAACCAATGGCAGACCCAAAAATATATTTTACCGGAGTCAATATATATATATATATAAATAAATTTCAATAAAAATAATATTTAAAAAATCCTAAACGATTAACTTCTTATCAAGTTTTTTATATAATTATATATTATGTCATAATATTTTATTAATTTATTTTAAACTTATTAGTTATATCAGAACCTGGACCACAAGTTACACATCTGGTTTGCTTCAAGACCATAAAGCTTCAGTTATGTTCTAGATTTAAACCTCTGTTTTTTATTCATCACAAATTCAGCTTCAAGAGGCATTTAATATATATAACCAAAGTGACATAAAACATCTCCTTGAACTTATGGATTACTACGGACTAAAACTCTCTCCAAATGACAATTAACTTCTCTAAGTTAAACATATCTTTACCTCGTTCATTATGATTTTATATATAATTTACTGTTAAACTATATGTCTTTCGTTTAATATTTAATTTACAATCAAACAAGAACATCATCTCAATTAACCCACGATTTTTAAGAAAAATACTATTTTTATATTGAACTAATAAAACTTGTTATTAGGGGTGTCAAAATGGTTAACCCAACTCAACTCAACTCATTACCCAATGAGTTTAGAGTTAAATGAGTTCATGAGTTGACTCAACTCATTTAAGCAAATGAGTTGAGTCAACTCATGAACTCATTTCATTTGATGGGTTGACCCATTAACCTATTTAATGTAATAAATAAATTAATAATTAAAATATAATAATAATAATAATCATCAATATCACTATTATTTGGCGGAAAAATCACGGATTTACGTTTTTGGCGGGAAAATTAAGGATTATATTCAATCGGTTTAGAAGTTTTGGTTAGACTCAAATTGAAATCGGTTTAGAGATTTGAATTGGTTTGATTCAATTTAACATAAATTGATGGGTTAAATGGGTAAACCATTAAAACCATCAACCTATTTGACTCAATAACTCATTTGATCCATCAACCCATTTGACTCAATAACTCATTTGATCCATCAACTCATTTGAGTATCGTTGTGGATTCATATCAGTATGGTTTATGAATGTTACTACCAGACTTTAGTTAATAATCTCCAATGATTTGGGTAGTGGAGGAGTTGGTGAACTTTTAGGCTTTTTACATAATGACGTTACTTCTAATCATTGTCCAATCAGTGACGTCATACGAGATTTTTTTTTTGTTTATCTTTTAAATAATTATGAGTTATGACTGAGTGAAAGAAATTATCATCTTCTTCCCTATCAAATTTTCAGCAGCGAAAATGGCGAACATCGGCGTGGTGTCGGCGACTAACAACCAGGTGATACTCCGTGACTACGTGAGTGGATTCCCTAAAGAATCCGACCTCTACATTGCCGCAACCACCGTTGACTTACGTGTACCTCCCGGATCCATGGCGGTTCTAGTCAAGAACCTCTACTTATCTTGTGATCCTCACAGCCGCACTCGCATGGGGAAGCCTGATCCCTTGTCCCCTGCTTCCATCGCTCATGCTTTCACTATAGGCAAGGTAAAATTTTTGAATCTCTGGTGAAAGTTTTTTTTTTTTTTTTTCACATTGGATGATTATTTCATTGTGTTGTGTGTGTTGTAGCCAATCTCTGGGTTTGGAGTGGCTAAAGCAATAGATTCAGATCATCCAAATTACAAAAATGGAGATTTACTTTGGGGAAGAGTTGGATGGGAAGAGTATAGTGTTATTACTCCAACTCCTTCTTCACATTTCAAGATTCATCATACCGATGTTCCCTTATCTTTCTACACTGGACTTCTTGGTATGCTTTTTCTAAATGCTCCTCTTGGTGATGTTAATGCTTGATTTTCTTGTTTTTATCATTAATCAAAACTTAATTAGTAGATGATTGTTTTTTTTTTTTTTTTTTTTTTTTTTTTTTTTTTTTTTTTTTATTAAAGAGTAGATGATTGTTTATGCTTTCTTTTGATTTGATTTTTTTTTTTGAATACTTTACTTATTGCCTAATAATATGTTTTCCCCTGTTCTGTTATTTTAAAGGTATTCCGGGTCTAACTGCGTTTGTTGGGTTTTACGAAATCTGTTCTCCGAAGAAAGGAGAGACTGTTTTTGTATCAGCTGCATCTGGTGCAGTAGGTCAACTTGTGGGACAGTTTGCGAAGATGGCGGGATGCTATGTCGTTGGAAGCGCCAGTAGTAAAGAGAAGGTCTTTATCACTTATTAGAGAGTAATGGAGTTCACCATTTATTTAGTCTTTCTATCAAGAAAGTGATGTGTCCCCTTCTTCCTTTCTTTGTTATAGGTTGATCTTCTCAAGACTAAGTTTGGGTACGACGATGCTTTCAATTACAAGGAAGAGCGTGATCTTAGTGATGCCCTGAAGAGGTCAGTAAATTCTAGGGATTTGTATCAGTTCCGTTCGACTTTTTGTCGGTTTTGATAAATGTATACTGAAATAGAGCCAAATGTTTTTACGGCTTGGTTCATTTTAAATTTTGGATTGGGTTTAGTTTGGCTTGGTTTTGGATAATAAAAACATGACATCTTTAGTTTATTCATTTCGACTTCAATAAGTTCGGGTTTGTAATTAAATTTGGTTTGGTTTCGGTGTTTGGGATTATCAGGTGTTTCCCAGAAGGAATAGACATATACTTTGAAAACGTGGGAGGCAAAATGTTAGACGCAGTGCTCGAAAACATGAGGACACATGGGCGAATCGCCGCGTGTGGAATGATCTCACAATACAATCTAAAGGAACCCGAAGCTTTACATAACTTAGCCACCATTGTTTACAAACGGATTCGGGTTCAAGGTTTTGCAGCTGTCGAATTCTTTGATAAATACTCCAAGTTCTTGGATTTTGTGCTTCCGTATGTAAGAGAAGGAAAGATAACATATATAGAGGATATAGCGCAAGGACTCGAGAACGGGCCTTCTGCTTTGATTGGACTGTTCCACGGTAAGAACGTTGGGAAACAACTTGTTGAAGTTGCTCGTGAGTGAGATTGAATTAGCAAATAAAACAACTTGTTATTACCGTTTGTTTTATTTGTTGTTGTGACATTGCTTTCTTTGTAGGTCAGAAATAATTAGACTGTTGTTAAACGTTTAATAGACAATATCTCTCTTGATCTAATTTTTTTATCATTGTCTAATGTCTTTCGTTCACCTTTCTTGATCTCACCATTCGTCTACACACTAATATCCAAGAACAAATTTCTCATTTTTGGTTACTAGTATGTCTTTGGCGTTTGGTTTGTACCTTTTTTTTTTTTCCGTCAAAACCCATTTTATTAAGATATCGGACGGAGACTTTCCTCTAGAGAGAGGCAATCCGGAGCCGATGTGCTTACATGGGAGAAAAATAACCTCGTGTCCTTGCCTTTTTTGCAAGACAGTCGGCACGTACATTGTTACAACGCGGAATAAATCGAATATAGAAAGAAGGGAAAGAAAGCTTTAAAAGCTTGAACAGTTGGAGTTCTACTGCAAACGTAGGCCATTCAGATGGATTATCTAGAATAGATATCAGCTCGGAGCAATCTGAGGCAATGCCATAATTCGTCTTCGAGTCTGCGATGAGTTTCGAATTCAGCTTACAGAGGGGATAAACCCCAACGGGAACTTTTCAGTCCCATAAGAATAGGGGTATCTCCATTCATAACAATCCACCCATGACCACTGAGGGGCTCATTTATTTTCCAAGAACCATCGATTTGACATTCTGGTTGGGTAGGTCCTAAGAGTAAAGGGTCAGGAGGTAGCCTTATGCCTTCATCTGGGATATCGTCTTTAGAGTTTGCAACCTTCCATGCATTAGTGCTGATATGATCGCATCCTTTCTTTTACATTAGTTTAGTTTCGTATGTTATGCAAAGAAGAAACACTAGTTCTCTAATAATTAGAATTGAAACAATATTTTTTAAAACCGGACAGGATGATGAAGCAAGAAAATTTTATGGGTCATGGATCAATCCGATTCAACCGGTCCGACCGAGCTTACAATATTTTTTCGAGTCTATATATATATTTACTAGAGTATCATGAGGGGTATTGATTTTTTTTTCTTCTCAAATTGTATTTATAACAGAAAATGAAAGAAAAAAAATATTATTGAATGTAAATTAGTATAGTATAAAAAACAATTCAGAGAGAGATAGAGAAGATTACTAGTTATATAATTTATTCACATATTTCTGTTCTTTTTTTTTCATATATTACTGTTCTTGAATCTTTACTTTAATAAAAACTAATTTACATCGTAATATTTTTTAATTTATTGTTAACATGTATTACAACAAATCTAGTAATGTTAATCACCAAAACCTTTGCTAAATCTCCAACTCCACTAATGTTTTCTTCACCACAATTCACCGCTTTTTTTGGCTTTGTGCAAATTTCCAAACCTTTGGTATGAAGGTTCCAGGTATATTGATGTAATCCAAACCAAAGACTGTAAATTTAAAATGTTTTGAGTTTGGAAAAGCAAGCTTCAAGATTTTTTCTATTGTTTCTAAATTTTTAGACATCATCGATTGGTAAAAAATTCATGAAACACACACAATTGACCATTTTTTTTATTATTGAATTCAAACACAAACACGCACACACAATTGACATGATTTTTTTTTTTGATAACACAACATAATAATGACATAACTAGTATTGTCATTATCTCCATTTTCATTTTCTTTTAAGTACGATAAAATAGTTCACATACTTTTTACACATTTTGAAATCAATTGGGTACTTGTCCAGCTTCTTAGCAAGTCGATCGAATAGCTCATCGACCACACCGTCTCCAAAGTGTTCTTCAATTATAGTATTGAGAATGGCTCGAAACATGGAAGTGATGAAGTCGTTGGTTAATGGCATATAATCCATAGGATGACTTATCTCCTCCATTGTCTCGATCCTAAAGTTTTCATTTTGCTCAATGTTTGCCTTGAATTCACTAATATGCGGGATATATGTGGGCAAACTGAACAGTTCGATCTTTTCCTTGCTCGTTATTCCCTACAAAATCAAACAATTCGCAACAATAAGTGTAAAAATTCAGAGTTAGTTCTTTAACATTTAAGAGAAGATTAAGCATTAAAATATGATCCATGTTTTGAAAACTAAGAATATAAGAAAAATTCTTAAGGGATTAAATTCCTTACCAGTTTAGCCATATCCATAAGACAATCTCCAATCATATCGATCACAACACCTTGCCATGTCAAAGCCTTTGGGATCCCATCTGGCAAGCATTGTCCTGAAAGGATCATCAATCCGCCCGAGACAATTTCTTCTGCTCTTGCTTCAAGAAAACTTCCCATGTCTATTTTGAACTGGATCTCGTACGCCTTAGTCACTTCCTCTACTAAATTATTACATTGAATATAGCTTTTATTCAATGCGGGAGATTTATTGTTACTGACATGTTGGGGAACTTTAGAAAGCCAGTGGAGTGTATAGGTAGTGTGACCAATATGGAGGCTATTTTTTGGTAATACTCTACCATGGAAGGACCCTGGAACTCCGACCGATAAATATGCTTGTTTGGAAGAGAGAGGTTGGGTTCTAAAAAGTGTGTTAAAATCGTTATTTGGTTGATCATTGAAGCATACTTGGAACTCGAGAGGAGCACCAATATTGTTTTTTTTTTCTTTTAGGTTTTTTTGTTTGACCGTATCAATGATATTTTGGACAACGTCAAATGTGTTTGGCCCAATGGAACAACCAAAATCCGCAATTCTTACGATGCTTGCATCAGAATTACGGTTCAGGAGTTCGAGATCGAGGTTCTTTAAGATGGCTTCACTTGTCTTTTCTTTAGCGCCATCTATCGCTACTTTCTGTATCACAAGTTATACAAACTATCTTAGCAATAATATCTTAATTAGCTATTAAATCATATCATATAGAAAGAAAAATTTGGTATATCATTGTTACTTGCTTGATAAGAGGAATTGTGGATGTAACTGTGCGGACCATCACCACCGTTCATAGGAAATGATTGAGGAAATGTTGGCATTTCTCTATGTTTTTCAATGACGCCCACTTGTTTCATCTCTCCATATGTTGGTCGCCTTAATTTAAATTAACATGTAAAGAAAAAAAGATGAATATGCATGCTTGTAAACAATTAACTGAAAATGACATTGAAAAAAAGAGAGTACAAAATTCACATAAAGCCAAAAGTATAAATCAAGAAAATAACCTGATGCCAACAATGCTGACTACTGGTGAAGCTATAGCAATAGCTGATGCATGACCCAAAAAAGCACTCAACATTGTTTCTTAGAGGTGAGAGAAAAACAAAGATGTTACTTTAAGAGGTGATTATTGTTTTTGGGTATGAAGAATTGGAAGACAACAAGTTTATAAGGACCAAGAGAGGGAAGCGTGGGGGGTAAAAAATTGGGGCCACATGGTATAATCTATAATTCATTTTATAATTTATATTAAAGTCTACTGTTAATTTTCAGTTGGAGTAATTTATTCTAAAAAGACTTTAATTCAAGGATATCCTCCATATAGGTTTTTTACACGAACTATGCCTTCTACATTAATATTTTTGTTGAATAGAGCGAAAATCGTTGAATTTTCATGCTTATGGAAAAAGATCGTTTCCATTGAAAAGATTAGTAGTAATCTTGGGAGTATGTTCTAATGGAACAGAAATTCTCTGAGCAGCAGGTTGGTATGTAACTCCGTTAAAGAAACTTTAATTCTAGCCACTTGTGTGTTTGGTTAAGTAACCAAATAGCCTAAAAAGAGGAAAAGAGAGTAAATAATAAGAGTAAATCTTGTTTCTCTCCATAACTACCGCAAAGAAAAAACATGATTTACCTTCTCAAATTGGAATAAAACACCAAATGATTAAAGGGAACATGAGACGCCACAAAAAAAAAACAAAAAAAACAAAGAGAGGTTGGTGACGACGTTGCTACAAGATAATCTGTGTTATGGGATTCTTTTTACTTTTCCTTTTTTTGGTCGCTAAAATTTGTGACGATTAAAAGAATATTTTACAACTGATTTTACAGTCGCGAAATAGTCACACATTTACGAGTGACGACGAAATAATTAAGTTGGTTAACCGTCGCATATTGGCTATAATATCAAGACCAATATTCGACTATAGAAAACAGGTTGCAAAGTCATCTCAAAATAAGATGATTCGCGACCTTTAGTTTATTCCTAATATATAGTTATTCTTTTATTTTCCACGGTTGCATATAATTTGTTGTATGTGCGACTAACTTCTTAAATTGGGAGGCATTTGCAATCTTCTCGATTTCTTTCCCCAAATTCGCCAAAACATGAAAAATGATCGTAAATATGTTTTAGCTATGTGTTTGTACATATTTTTGAACTACTAAATACAACAAGTTCTTAGAAATTCCGCAAAAAATAATCAATTTCCAATATTTTAACCTTAAGATTGAATCACATCTTAAATATGTAATGTGTTTATATGTTTCTTCATGTGATGATGTTAAATGTCTTAAAAAAATTTAAAATTTCACTTACCAAATATTCGTTTACTCTTTGTATCCAAAATTATTTTTAAATGGAAATAATTTTGATTTTATTATATCAGTAATATTAATGATATATAAAAATAAAATTAGTCTAATGTGTATATATATACACAACATATATAATAAATGTGACACAGATAAGGTAAGTAAAATATGTTATGTATTTTATATATAACATAATAATTATATTTATTGGGAGAATTTCAAAATGTCCGTTTTTTAATACTATTTTTCAAAAATGTTCATTCTCTATAACATTATAAAAACTGTCCCTAAAAATCTGAGATTTACCCAAATACAAGTATATCTTTATTAAAACATACACACACTACTTTTATATGTGTGTAAATCTTATAAAAGTCGTATAAATACCTTCCAAATACCTTATAAATACCTCGTAAAACCTTATAAATACCTTATAAAACCTTTTAAAATACTTGTAAAACCTTATAAATATTTGGATCGAGTCTCCGAGTATTAGTTACTATCGAGAAGTACCTTATAAACCTTTGAAAAATTTATAAATGTTTCAGATTTAATCAATTGTGTATTTTTGATAATAGACACCTAAATTAGGTAATTTTTATTAAGAACACACCAAAAATTACGTATTTTCTATTAATCTACAAAAAATAGAATAACAATTTACTCTATAAAATACTAGAAAAAAAATTTACGCTAAAATCGTATTTTCTTTCTTTTCATTTTCTCTTTCTCATTAGTTCAACTGTTCAGCTTTTTCTCACCAATCAAAATTGTATTTTTCTTAAAGTTTTATTAGTTGGTGTGAAAATATTTCTCTCAAAGAAAAATAAACTCATGGCCGAAAAAAGAAGAAGGAAACTACAAATAGTCACGTGGCGCCTATTATGGGGTATCACACAGTGTGATTCACACTATTCTTTTATTAAATGTATTCATAAAAATAAAACTCGTGACGTCTCTTAACGCGTAACTACTTTTTGAATGATATCTAATTAATGATAAAGTATTACTATAGTTTTATTAAATGTATACGTCTATTATTGTGTCAAGATTCATTTTGAACTTATCATATTATCAAATGAAAGTGATAATAGAATATATTATTCACATAAATTTATTAGTTAGGTAGTGTATCACCAATAGTGTATAATAGCGAAAATTCAATAAAATTAAATTCTTGGATGATACCAAAACCATGTGAATCTCGAGGATATATTTTAATCATACTCCCTCTATTAATTGGGTTAGAAACTCACACGTCATACCCATTATTTCCCTATAAAAATACCAATAATATTAAAAGCGAAAAGAGTTCAATACAATTCAATTTCTTTGGTGACAGCACATGTTACAAAAATTGTGATTCTCGTGGATCTTTTTTTGTCAAGTTCTTACTATAGTACGTAACTACATATATAATACTCCCTCCGTCCCACAAAGATAGATTTTTTAGAAATTTCACATTCTTTAAGAAATAATGTATAATGACAATTTTAACCTTTTAATCATTTAATACATTTAAAAAAATATATTATTTATTGTTGTTTAATAAGGGTAAAATAGGTAAATTGTATTAAATTTAGCATTGGAAACCCAAAACTTCTATCTATGTGGGACAATTTTTTTTTCTAAAACATTCATCTTTGTGGGACGGAGGGAGTATACTACTTCCTCCGTTTCATAATATAAGTCGTTTTAGGTAAAAGCACGCTAAGAAGATCTATTTTTCAAAAATTCAACCAATCATAAAAAAGACTACATAATATAAATAATCATAATATATTAAAATAATATATAATTTGCATCAAAACTCGAAAACGACTTATATTGTGAAACAAAAAACTTTTTCCAAAACGTCTTATATTATGAAACGGAGGGAGTATAAGATACTAAATTTAAAAATAAATACTCATACAAATAAAAAGATTTAAAATCTCTTATTTTCCGGTCTCTAGTATGTATGTAGAATTTTTATAATATTAGTATTCCAAAAATAATAATTTGATCAAAATTTTATTTTCCTTTTTTGTTCACGAGCTTATTCATTATTTTGTTTCTATACTTTCTAATAATTGGTTCATGTATATATACCGAAATTAATGTATTATTTGAAAAGAATCCTTAAAATGTTTGTTATAAATAATTTTTCCCTATAAAAGTTCCAATATTATTAAAAAAGAAAAGAGTTTACGTACAATTCAATTTCTTGGGTGTCAGCACATGTCACAAAAATTGTGATTCTCGTGGATACTTTTTTGTCAAGTTCTTAATATAGTACATATATAATACAGTATAAGACAACAAATTTAAAATAAATATGCAACAGTACAAATCAAAAGATTTAAAAACTTTTATTTTTCGGTTTCTAGTATTTACTTAGAAGTTTAATAATTTTAGTTCTCCAAACAAAATAATTTGTTTAGAAGAATGTAAATATTACGCTTTCTCTAGTTTTATAGGTTTTTAGTTTTGTTCTTATTTTCTTCTTTTAGTTTTTTTTTATCAAAACCTTTGGGGAATCTTTTCTAAACTATTGATCCCTTTTTTATAATGATCACATGTACTTATGTCATGTGTAAATAGTCTCATCATGGAGTTTTACCGATCGGTATTGCACTCTACCGATCGACACCGATCGACTTGGACTTTTATCAATCGGTTGGAATCGCCAAAGAGATTGATTATATGCTAGGCATAAGTGTAAGTATAGTATTCCTGCTTTGATTTCTACTAGTTTTATGTCTTTAATTGTTTTTAAAGCCTCAAATAAATTAGGCCAATTCACATATTTTTCATGATCTAATCCCTCAAACCATTAAAACTGATGTTGAATTGATGGATCTATTATTATATAGGCAATTTTCTTTAACCAACCTCACCAAAAATTGTGTCATTACGATTTGTAGAATTTATTTGATTTCGTTCTTATTGCGTGATTGGATTACTTAGAATGAAATTTAACCAAGGTTTATGAAGCTATGTAGTCCCTCATAGGATTATCACTAAAACACCATTAGGGTAATTCACAATAGAAGTTTTATTTTACGAACTTTAAGTATCATAATCGAACATACATGTTAATTATATATTCTCTAATGAATCCTCTAACACTCTATTTCTTATATGTTATATTATTTTTATTTTTATTATTTATTTTATTTTTGGAAATTTTTCTGAGTTGTTGTAGTCCATGTCATCCTTGTTTAATTATAAGTCTTTGCAAGGCTTTTGTGTGTTTTTTGGTCTATGTGGATTCAGGGCCGGTCCTGAAATTTTAGAGGCCCAAACAAATTTTAGAGTAGTTTAAAGTTGTAAAAATTAGGGGCCTCTTTCGTAAAAAATATAAAATTGGGGGCCTATTTCTTAAATAAAAATAACTTGAAATTTTGGGGGTCCTAAGCCCATGTTTCACCTTGTTGGGCTCAGGGCCGGTTCTGTATGGATTCGATCCCTAAATACTATTGCGTTTGCCTATGCACTTGTAGTTAATATTAAGGGTAAAAATTTTATTAGCAAATTTACTCGTAACAATCACCACTTTAGCAAAGGGAGTTTGAATCATTTGATGAATGTTAGAAAAGATTTAGAGAATATTTTAGGGACTACGCACACTACAGCTACACAAATCTCGATCTCTAGAAATATTCTCCAGCGGAGTGCGGAGAGCTTAAGTAAAAGTTTAATCTGGCTCTAAACAAAGGTAGCATGGGTGATTTACCCACTAACAATCTAGTAGAAGCTATACTATGATCGAGAATATGGCTCCCAACAACAATAATATTCGTTTTCAAAAATACGATAGATCACATCATGTCAAGAGTT